TGGCGCAGGTGGGGGCCGCTACCCCTGCCGCTCCACAACTCCAAACTTTATTTTCCGTTTCCCTCAATCCTGAAACTTGGCCCTCGGCCTCGACTTTATCCTGAGGGCCTCGGGGGCCCGTGCTGAGGTGTTTTTCCACCTTGCCAGTCCTGGGGCTGGTCTCCTCCACGGCCTGTGCTGAGGCCGCCTCCGCTGTGCTCCCCCCCCCACCCCGCAGGTGGAATTCTCACCCTCTCTGCAGACCCTGGCGGGCGTGGTCAACGACATTGGCAGCCACCTCTTCTCCACCATCTCGGTCTTCCGCCACCTCCCTGAAATTCTCATCAGGCGCAAGTTTCAGCGCGACCCCATCCACGTCATCGTGGGTGAGTGGGCGGTGGGGAGGGCGCCGGGCGCAGGGGCGTCAGGGGCTCGGAGGGCAGGGTTGGGCGGGGCCGGCAGGAGAGGCCAGGGCCGCTTCGGGACACGTGGGGCCGGGAAACCCCGGGTGGGGGTCAGACTGGGGAAGGTGGCGAGGGCGGAGGGCGGGCCGCGGTGGGCGGAAGTTGGGGGACTAACGCCCGGGGGCTCTGGGACTGGGGCGGAGGTGAGTGCGGCGTGCTTTGCTCGCTCTTGAAGAGCGAGACGAGGACATCAGGAAGATCCAGGCCCAGATAAGCGGCGGCATGGCCAGCAACGCGAGCCTGCTGCAGACCTACCTCAAGACCTGGGACTTGTACCGGGAGATCTGGGAGATCAACAAGGACTCTTTCATCCGCCGCTACCAGCGCCTCAACCCCCCCGTGTCTTCCTTTGATGCCGACATCGCCCGGTGAGGAGCCGAGGTGTCCGGGAGGCGCAGAGCCCCGGGCACGGGGCTGGGCTGGGGAGTGCCGCCCAAGCGCGTGCCCTCCGCTCCGGGCGAAGACCGCCAACCGGCAGGCGGCCCGTGCCCCCTGGGCCCCCAGGGTCCTGGGAGGCAGGTGTGACCCTTTCCTACTTGCCAAGGTTGCGAGGTCATCGAGTATACGAGAAAGCGCCTCGCGGGCCCCGAAGCCCCGTGCGGAGGTGCTCATTACCCAGGCTTCAGGGGGTGAGGGCCGTGGCTCAGGCATACGGGGCGCTGGGGCGGCGGGGTGGAAGGAGAGAGAGTCCAGCCGGGACGTCAGGAGAGGCTTCGCGAAGGGGGTGACGGGAGGCTGGGCTCGCCCGAGTGGGGAGGGTTTCCACAGGCAGACGTGGGCAGCGGGGAGGGCATGCCGGGCGGAGACAACAGCGCCCAAAAGGCATAAAGACGGGAACACGTGAGTGTGTTCAGCAGGGAGCGAGCGGTCTCGGACACAGGTGCAGGAGCGGAGGTGTGCAGGGGGCTTTATACCGAGCAGACAGTGTCACCCTCCCAAGAGCAGTAGGGGTTGTGTTCACATCGCCGTGTGATCGACGGGAAATCGGGGCTCAGGACAGTGTAAATAACCTGCCTGAGGTCACCGAGCCCGGGAGCAGCCGGGGGGGGGGGCGCTCAACTCAGATTCGTGCGACTTTAAAGCCTCGAATGCCAGACTGAGGAGTCTGGCGGCCCCCGGGGCAGCGGTTGGGAAAATGACGTGATCCCAGCCGTAAGGCTGGGCTGCACTGACGCGGGAGCAGGGGGATGCCTCAGAGCTGCCACACGGGTCTGGGGGGGGGGGGGGTGGGTAAGAGACTGGAACCGGAACTGGCCGCGGGGCCGTGGGTTCGTCCGCCGCTGGCCCGGCCCGAACGAGCGGGAACGTGGGTCCTCGCAGCTACGCCGAGGTGGCTAACAACGTGCAGAAGGAGGAGACGGTCCTCAACATCCAGTTTGTGCTGCTGGACTGCTCACATCTCAAGTTCTCGCTGGTGCAGCACTGCAGCGAGTGGCAGGGCAAGTTCACGGCCCTGCTCAAGGAGATGGCGGCCCGGCACCTCCTGGAGCTTCACGCCTACCTGAGGGAGAACACGGAGAAGTAGGCGCACAGGCTGGGGCGGCAGGGGTGCGGGGAGGGCGGGCTCGGCCCCTTCCACTCGCAGGCTCTCTCCCCGCCTGCCTCCAGAATCAGCCGCCCTCCCCAGACGCTGGAGGAACTGGGAGTCAGTCTGCAACTCCTGGAGACCCTGCAGCATCACCTGCCCGGCATGGAGGCCCAGATCCCCCCCATCCACGAGCAGTTTGCCATCCTCGAGAAGTACGAGGTGCCCGTCCAGGACAGCGTGAGTTCCCGTGTGCGGTCCAGCCGGGGCGGGCCTGCACCAGCGGTGGGGCGTGCGGGACGTGGGCCCCCAGGGGCCAGGCCCCGTGCGGTCCCAGGGGACCGCTGAAGAGCCAGCCGGGCAGCAGGTGCGAGGTTCCAGGGCCCCTGAGAGCCAAAGCCAACTCCGTGATAATCTGGGTCAGCTTCTGGATTTCTCTGAGGCCCGGCAGCTCGTGGCTTCATTTCTTTGGGCCTCGCGGCAAGGGGAACTTGACCACAGACTCTGGTCCGGAGGATCAGAACGGAGGCCTGGAAAGCATTGGTGAGAGGGGCAGACCCCCTGCTCGTGGGCCATGGTCCCCTCGTCGACGTCCCCAGGTCCTGGAGATGCTGGACAGCCTCAACGGGGAGTGGGTCATCTTCCAACAAACGCTGCTGGACAGTGAGCAGATGCTAAAGAGACACAAGGAGAAGTTCAAAACGGGCCTCATCCACTCGGCTGATGATTTCAAGAAGAAAGCCCACAATCTTCTGGAAGACTTTGAATCCAAAGGTACCCCTTTCTCGACCCTTCTCCCCTTACCTCTGTTGTGACCCAGCCTTTCTAAGCCCAGGTCCCCGGGGAGGCAGGAACAAGGATGAGCAGAGGGAGGACGGTGCTGCGGAGGGGAAGGAGCCCTGGCACCTGCCTTTGGTGCCGCACCTGCCGTGGGGGCCGCGCCCTCCATCGCCGACTGTTGGTTGGAGCGCGCCCGAGTTTCTGGTTTCCTCACGCCTTCCCGTGGCCTGCCCGTTTCTGCTTCTCAAGCCACGTCTGAGAGTTTTTGCCAAGGTTGACCGCCTTGCTTTCCCTCTTGTTTTCCTTCCCCTCCTCGTGTGAGGAGAGGGAGATGTGCCCGCAGAGAGGTAGGAGAGCCGCGACGGGCCTTCCAGGGGACGACGGCCTCGAGCAGGGGATCTGAGCCTCACCCTGGTCTCCCACAGGCCCCTTCACCAGTAATGTGGGGCACCAGTCCGCCCTAGAGCAGATTGCCCAAACGCGGGCCATGCTGAATGCCATGCGGGATGAAGAACAGAGTCTCCGCTCCAACCTGGGCATCTTCAAGATCGAACAGCCAGTCTCCAAGGACCTGCAGAACCTGGAGAAGGTGGTGTGCCGGGCCGGGCCCTTGTGGTAACCAGAGGACGGGGCAGGGGAAGGAGCTTGCGGCCTAAGGGCCGGACCAGTGCCCACCAGCAACGTAGTGCGAGGCTTCCGTTTCTCCGCGGCCTCGTGGACACATCGTCACCCCACGCTCTTTCTTGGGGCCAGCCGTCCTGCCGGACCTGGACATTGAGGATCTTTTCCCGGGCTTGTCACTTGACGAGCCCCTAAGGCAAGGCGGCGGAGAAAGGGACGTGACCCGAAGAGGCAGCCCTATGATGCGGAGTGAACGAGGGGGGCAGAGGACCCGCGTGTCTGGCGGGGAGGAAGGAGGGGGGAGTCCTGCCACCTAATGCATCTTCTGCCCTTGGCCGTGAAGGAACTAGACGCCCTGCAGCAAGTCTGGGAGATCACGCGGGACTGGGAGGAGCACTGGAACCAGTGGAAGACGGGCCGGTTCCTGACCCTGAAGACAGAGGCCATGGAGACCACGGCCCACGGGCTGTTCCGCCGCCTCACCAGACTAGCCAAAGAGTACAAGGCGCGCGCGGAGGACGGAGTGAGGGCCGGGGGATGGGCCCGTGCGGGGACGGCGGTCAGGGCTTCTGACGTCTTCCGTTGTTTTGCCCAGGACCGCAACTGGGAAGTGATCGAAACCACTCGCTGGAAAATAGAGCAGTTCAAGAGGACCATGCCGCTCATCTCGGACCTGCGAAATCCGGCCCTTAGAGAGAGGTGAGGCCGCTCCTTCGCTCCTGGGGGCCGCCCCTGGCCTGCGCCATCACCTGGTCCTCTCAGTGTCCCCTCCCCGTGTGTGTGGCTCTCCCCGCCCCCTCACACAAGCACCGCCTTGAAGCCTTCGCGAGAGCCTGCCTCGTCCTCTGTCTTTCCGCTATCGCTGCCCCTGCTCCTCTGGCCTTCCAGCTCCGTCTGTCTTTCCTTCCCGCTGTGTCTGCCCTCATTTCATGTTCTGTCACAGCTCAGTGACAGACACCTTGCTTGACACCTTCTGTCATGCAAACGGTTGTATTCTTTTTTTTTAATTTTTAAAAAACGTTTATTTATTTTTGAGAGAGAG